ATATCTTGAATTTGAGAATAAACTACAAGTGTAATATCAGATTCTGAATATGAATCTGAACCAGAATTCCTGAGTGAAAATTCACAGATAAATAAATTCTTGGAAAGTTATTTTAAAATATTTACTAAGTTAACTTACTACGTAATTTGGTCATTTTATAACGGGAGAGAAAAAAATGAATAAAACACATTTTGAAAACTTACATTGATTTTAATCAAATCACATTTTTGAAATATAAATACAGAATAAGAAGCAAAGATAGGAATATTTGTCTTTGGAGTATGTACATTGTAGTATGAATTGTATATATCAAATTAATAACACATTTACAGGACCTATGTATTTGAATTTTTTTTCACATTAAATTGTCCAGAGTTTTTTTTTCTATCCTGGTGTCTTCTTACATAAGGCTTTCTGCTTAATATCCATGACCTAGAACATTCCTGTAAAAAAAGGAAAAATAAATTTAATGATTTGTAACAAAAACCTGGTATGCAGAATCCAAATTACAATTACATGTACTATTATATATAATTATGACTATATACATTTAGTGCTCCACAATATCTCATAATTTATAAATGACCGCATTAAATTCTTACAGGAATGATAAATATTGATAATATTTACTTTCATGGTACAATGTAGTAGATAAGCTAGAAATATATATATATATATGTAGAATAATATGTTTTGCTAAATCTATGAGAAAGTAAGTCAGCCCACCACTCCACCAGTATCCCATTTCCAAGTTTTTACACCATTACATTTTTTCTTCAAAATTTTAATTCATCTCTAAATTAATGAATCACCAGAAATCAATCTTGGTGAATGCTTGGTTCAGCACAGAGACTAAATATACTAAAAGAGACATACATTAGCAGCAGCTATTACACATTCATTTTTACATGATAGATTTTAGTATATGGGGTTTTTGTCACATTTGATATGACATTTATCAAATTATCTGTTGTTACTTTGCTATTGCCTGGTTATCATATTCATTTCCACCCTTGTTATGATGACCTATGTCCTTATAAATCATTCTTAATGATTTGATATATCCAGGTTTGGCCTATTGCATTTTACTTTCTGTCCTTACTTCCTGTTATAATCAAAAACAAACTATACATCTTTTAAAAAGTTACTCTGATTTGTTCAGATATGAATTTAATTTGACAAAAACAATTGATACACTATACACAATACACTCCAAATACAATACGAAACAAAGTGATTTGTTTACTAATTTAAAATCTTTCAATAAAATTTTGCTTTGATGTTTTGAGTTGAAATGCAACCTGATAAGCAAATTCCCCCCCCCCCCCCCCCCCCCCCAACTGGTACACAGAGAAACGCACTGATGTCCTACGTGAAAAAAAGTTTGGTCAGGGGTTTGCTGAGAGTATGATAAAAAAAAAGTAAGCAATCTAAAAATCTGCTTAAACGCCTGTGCACTATATAATATGACACTATATATTTACCTCATTGTGGAAACTCGTATACTCGTGTCGGTTCGGTATGGGTCCTTGGGGTCATTGACGATTACTCGAATTTGTTTTCAGTTGCAGTTTTCAGACGACCACTTGAAGCTGTTTACACTGCCATTTATTGATTATTTCTGAACAAAATCTCTGTCAACAGTCAAAACGGAATTGCTGTAATGCTTCGAATGAAACGTTCAACGTCGAGACCTTCCTGATCGGCTGTTCAGTAGAGTAGAGAAGTGTCGCCGTCAGTGTGATGGGTAACGGTCATAATTCTTCCATCGTACGAAATGACCTATTCCGTTCAAGTGATGATAAACTCTGATTATCGTTTGTTCTATTCAACATGTAGATAAGTGAGCAATAACAACGGAAAGCGCATATTCTTTCACTTTCAGACTTCATCCTCAGCAGCTGTCATATCGCCATGGTAAACATCCGGTGTAAACGACTTTCGTTCTTATTTACGGGAGTTCAATATCACATTAAATACGATTATTTAAATATAAAAGATGGTCGCACTGGATATTTTTTGGGTTTTTTGACGTTTTTAATTGTTGTTAATAATTGTTGACGACACTTTTTAAATACAAGCGTGGTGTCGTTAGGTTACCGTAAATCATACTGAAATTTAGACAACATGCGCAGCTTCCTGCGCAATGGCGCTAAATTTGAGAAGGATGGACCCACCTTAAGCAACCCAAACACTTGCATAGTAATTCCTAAATAATATCGGTTTGGCACAATTTGAATTTGAACTTTCCTGAAAAGGACGTGTGTTGATCGACGGCGACTTGTCATTGGTACAAATGCTGGGTACCAAAGGAACTATACACCGGTTGTTTATGTTACCATTTGTATCTGAAACACTTCCATGATGCCGATAATTAACCGGCACACACCTAAATGATGTAGTTGAGTTGTTTAATGCTTGTATGAAAGTCGGAGGGGGTCTAATAAGGGTCCTGATGAAACAGGGACTTCCATGCGTGGCCTCTGTTTAGACACAATAATTCAAACAAATATCGATTGTTGAAAAAAATGTTGACAGTTCCTATCCAATCTTACAATATCAATCGTTTCATTCCACAAATGTTCTACTGCTGTTGCTATACCTTGTGTCTTTTTAGTGCAACATCCGTTTTCCCATGTTGACAAAACATACTTAGAGTATTATTTGATCGTTGGAATGTTTAATATCATGTTGCGCAGACCAGATAATTTGCTAATGACGTTTTCTGGATGAACTACACTGCACCGCATTATATTCTTCAATTGTACCGTATTTTTTCACAAGCAACAACAAAAACGTCCTGTACATACTGCTGTTTATACAACAGAAATACTTACGACACACAGTTTGGCTCCTCCAGAGTGTAACCGACCCGTGCTGAGAACACTCGTGAGCGAACATTTCCAGTTGGTCGCATCGAAGTGTTTCTTTCTGGTCGGTATCGGCTTGACAGTATTCGTTCATGCACATTTGATACCAAGATAAGTAGCTCATCTACACCATAGGGAAAATACAGAGATACATTGATCCATGTGAATATGTTCGCAAATACACCTTTGTTTTTGTATCCGACAATGACAGAATGTCTTTGCCAAACCGGCCTATTTCATGTTTAAATTCTCATAATATATATAAACAGGAAAACGTATTTCATCTCAAAGATTTGAAACAGGATTCCAACATAAATATAAACATATCGTACTTAAGCGTCAGACTACATCTTTTATATTTACTTGCTGTGATATAAAGTATATTCTTTTAATTTCTCACTGAGGAAAATCATATTTTAAAAGAATTAAGCGACAAAAAAATGTAAAACAATGTTTTTATATCAAATTAAAAATAAAGAGAGATGTCTTTTCCTTTTAGTTTGCTTTCAGCCAGTTTCACATTTAGATAAATAATGTTTAAAAGAAATGCTCATTTTTTTTAAGGGGCGCGAGGAACAAATGAAGTACACCTGTTGCACAAAGATGAGTGATGTAAAGTAGAAATACTATAACAGTTATATTATTATATTATACCGCTAAAGGGCTAAGAGAATATTAGAAACGTATTCAAAATACTTACTTTTGCTCTACAATCAGCAAATATACTCGATCTCATTAGTCCACATGCCTCCGTAGCACGTAATATACTCTCATCGTCTTTGCAATAGTTTGGGACTGATCCCGAACGAGGGCACTGTTACAGTAATTAATAGAAATACATTCCAATAGCATTGACATTACAATTAAATGGTTTACAAATACATGATTTAGCTTATAATGATTTAGAATAAATACAAATGCAGTGTTCCTTGTTACTACCATGCATAAGTACATAGAACATTTGAGAGGTCGGTGGTGCAGTAGAGTGCACCCTCGCCGTTCGTTAAGAAGACCGGGGTTCGACTTCTCGTGGCATTATTCCTAACATAATGGTAACCTCCCTTATCACACTCCTCTGTGTGTTCCATATGGGCCATTAAGAGTGATTTATATACTTTTTGACAAAACTAGTTTCATAAGCGTTGTAAAATTAAGTCTGTGGTTCATAGATGTTATTGCACACTGATTCTGTTAATGGGTTTTCTGCCTTTTCTCTGACTTAATATTCCTCATAAAATGGTTATCTACAGATTTAAATATGATGCGTATCTTGCACATGTATGTGCCTAATCTGATAATTAAGCTATAAGATATTTAAGTGTAGGGCAGAAATAGTCTCACCTTGTCGTCATCATATATCCAGGAGTTTCCAAAAAAAGTAGGGTTAATCGTTTTGTCGCCCGACTGTGTGACGAAATCGTCTATATGAAATGAAACACAATTTAAACAGTTTTATAGTTGTTTTGCAAGAATGAAAGACAGAAAATTAAACTACAAACATCTTATGTAAAATGACAATGCAATAAAAACCGTTTTGAAAAATCAGTCCATGGAATGTGTTTTTCCTTTCATTTTTGTTTTACACATTTGTTACAGTGATAAAGTATATATTTATATTTATAATAGAAAAGATTAAATGTCCATGTGAAGGAAGTAAATATAGAAAAAATAAGATTAACGACCGACTAAAAAACTAGCTGCTTTCACCCTCCAGCAAGCCACAGTAAAAGTTCACGCTAGTTTGTCCACCAATCTTGTGTACCTCGTGACGTCACGTTACTATTGTAGTGTGACGACATGTAATTGTGACGTCACGAAGATGTTCTTTTGAATAAACCTGAAGAGCCATGTGAATGCTGAAAGCAGCTAGTATTTTAGTCCGTCGTTATTCTTATTTTTTCTTTATTTAGATAAGGATTAAATGTCCATGTGAAGTAAGTAAATATAGAAAAAATAGATTTAACAACCGACTAAAGAACTAGCTGCTTCCACCCGTCACAGCGCTCTTCCGGTTTGTTAAAATAACCTGAAGTAAAACCTGAAGAGCCATGTTAAGGGTGAAAGCGGCTAGTTTTTAAGTCGGTTGTTAAATTTTTATTTTTCTATATATATATAAGTATATTTACGGACAAACAATAATAATTTAAAAAGAGAAAAACTCAATAGCCTATCTTTAGTTCTTTCATCTCTTCATGGTTATGTTAAATATAGGTCGCTATAGCTATGTGCGCTATGCGTTCCCGATTTCAATTTCACAGCAATCAGATTTCAAATGATGATAAAAGAGTACCATCAAATTAAAAGTTAGTTCTTATATGCACGTATCAAAAATAAAATAAATTACTATCGGTGCAATCAAGTCTCTTCTATATTATAGACATGGGAAACTGTTGAACACTATCGATAAGAACTTTAATGAACATAGATTCTCTCCTCCTTTAATCATACATGAAATTAGTCATAATACATGAGTCAAACGGTATTGCTCAAACGGAGTCTAAAATGTGTGCCTCACACTCGATTACGTCCGCATTGTTCTTTTGACAAATAGGAAATATAATAAATTTGGTCGCACAACGGATGCATGTGATATCACTAATATTTCTAAAACTTTTGCATGAACACAAATTTCGAGTTTTCGGGGAAAGTTCACTTACCTGAAGTATCAGCATTGGAATTTCCACATAATCCCTCGATCTTCCCTGATAACTTGGCATTGCTGTTGTCAAGTGTAACATATACAGTATGTTTCGCATTCACTTTCAGTCTCAGTCCTGACTTCTCTGCCGATATCATAACCCAGTCTCCGTTTTTCAGGACAGTGAAGGCTGAAATCAATTCCAGATTCATTGATTAATATCACTTTTTACCCTTACAAATGTATGGGAGATGGCTTAATATAAGAGCCTACTCTTGTTGCCAGATCCTTAATATTACATTATGTATAGTTGTATATTATGTACAGCATATTTGTAAATGAAATATTGTTTAAACCAAATGTATCTTTACCATATATACCTGCTTCGCCTGTCTAATCAGTGCCAAGGTATGTTTCGTTAAACTAAATACATGTAGTTGAAAGAGAGTACACAAATATAAGGAGATATTAAAATTGAAAATAGTTTCCTATCAACACTATGCAGTTGTTTCATACAGAAATAGTAGTGCAATCATTTGCATAGAAAACCTGCAGTCAGTGGTGTCCTTTCGATTTTTGGAATGTCGTTTGAAAGTATTTCATTTTACTACTAATACTATTTTTTTCATTCTCAGACACAAACTAATAACGAACTTAAATTCGGCCTCGGGCTTCTATCAATTAAGTGTTTTGCTTCAAATGCATACAATTTTATTGTATATGAAGACGAATATATAAGTAATTGAGTATTGATGTAAAGATTGTAACATAAATGTCATTAATTTCTTTTTTGAAATTGAATTGAGATTATATTGCATGCGATGTGCAAAATTAGAGCAATCTACAATCAAAGAGAATCACCTGAGCCCGTTTTCACAAACCTTTGCCAAGTTTAATCTTAAGGGATGTGCTCAAACATTTCTCTTGTAACGCTTCGATTCTTGCATAAAGTAACCACGAATTAGTACAAGCCTACACGTTAAGTCTAATTAAGTGATATGCCATGTTTAAAATGGGTGTTGTGCAGATAATATAAGTTTAAACATATGAAAGGATTCTAGGTATACGGGACATGCACCACACAGCCGTCTGACATTGTAAGGCACTAAAGCATCCGTAGGTTTACGAACTGGGGCTAATGGTATGGCATTCGAGAACTATCTTAATATCATAAACTTCAGTGAGATGCTAGAACAAATACTTTTACTGTTACGTCCAGTGATAGACATATTAGGATCAGAACTTTTACCAGCGGTAGTAATTTTTAAAAAAAACTACTTTTAGTTTTATATCAGTGGTTTCAACATTACGGTCAGTTCAATGATTTACGTTCGGTGGTTAAAACACAAGGTACAGAACGTACCGTTAGTCGTACATTCAGTGGTAGCAACCTTATGCTCAGCTCTTTCAGCATTACGTATTAGGTTTAGAACGTTAGAGAAAGTGATTGGCTGGTTGTAACAACATTATGATCAGTATTTTTTGCATAATCGCCGGTGGTAACAACATTATGTTCAATACTTTAAGCATTAGCTCCGGTGGTTATAACATAATGTTCAATACTTTTATTATTATCTGCGGCAGTTAAAACATTATGAAAATAACTTTAAACATTATCTCCGGTGGTTACAACGTTATGTCCAATACTTTAAGCATTATCTTCGGTGGTTACAACGTTATGTCCAATACTTTAAGCATTATCTTCGGTGGTTACAACGTTATTTCCAATACTTTAAGCATTATCTTCGGTGGTTAAAACAATATATTCAATACTTTAAGCATTATCTTCGGTGGTTACAACGTTATGTCCAATACTTTAAGCATTATCTTCGGTGGTTAAAACATTATGTTCAATACTTTAAGCATTATCTGCGGTGGTTAAAACATTATGTTCAATACTTTAAGCATTATCTTCGTTGGTTAAAACATTATGTTCAATACTTTAAGCATTATCTTCGGTGGTTATAACAGTATGTTCAATACTTCAAGTATTACCTCCGGTGATGGATATTTTACATTAGTTAGGAGCAGGTTGTTTTTGTAGCTTCTACAACATGTCAAACGCTATTTTACTTACCTTGTCCGGGGCTAAAACTAGGGACTTGTTCTTGCATTTGGATGATTTCTCCATTTGCCGTGACAATACCGCCTACTACTTCAATCTGATTGCCGCTGTTTTCAGAGAGAACCAATTTCTGTAAATCAAATTTATACGTATTGTTTACATTTCGGAATCATATGCGTCTCCAACTTAAAATTGCCAAAAATGGTATAAGTTAAGGAATAAGTATCCTGGACTTCTTTAGACATTTTCTAGTTTATAATCATGTGCTTCTTTTAAACACTAAAGTTTATGATAGACTTAAAATGTTGATTAATTATGCACTTTTCATTGAGGAGAATATGTTAAACATGGTTTTATGAACCTGCGTGATATTTACCGCGAGGATATCGACTTTATCTCGGCCAGTATCTTTTTTAAGGTCCACATAACCACACATTCACCGAAGCATACATTTGGCAGAAAGTATTGTAACGTAACAATTGAAATGACGTCATAAAGTGAGTAGTGACCTGTTACACGGAGAATATATAAAACATCACCGACCTCAACGTCACTATGATTCAACCAATAAGGATGTTGGGGAAATATGTGTCACGTTATGATTTCACGTATCGTGACCGCCTCTTCGCAATTATAAAACATTGAATCTCATGATTTTCGTTATTCCATTTTCCCCATGGCGAGTCGTCTCTCTATACCTTGTGGGTAAGCACACGTCGACATTTAACGCCTCATCAATCTTAAATTGATATATGCTAGAAGTACGACACAATGGGAAACATACCTTCTTGCAAGTTGTAGATTTTTCACAGTTGATGTGGTGCATAATCACATGCCATTTGTTTGTTGCTCTAGCAAGAACATGTTTACAGTTGCTGCCAAAAGTAAATTGTTTGCCGTCAAATGTTCTAAAGTAGTTTCGGCCGTAACTTAAACAAGTGCGGAACCCAACGTCGTGTTTCTGCTCAATGTCCTGTGTATTGGCTGTTAATATCAAAATAAGTGCATTTAAGAAGTTTAAAACAATACAATTTGGACTTAATTTTGCAAAAACAATTGCCAAAGGGTTGATTTCTTCTCACCAAATTAGTCATTTTTGAAATTGCATACTACTGTAGTTCTTAATCTAAATACACAGTGTTATATATATGTGTACCCTGACCACACCATACCGTCTATAATAAGTACTGTTACATATAGATGTACCCTGACCACACCATACCGTCTATAATAAGTACTGTGTTATATATATGTGTACCCTGACCACACCATACAGTCTACAATATGTACAGTGTTACATATAGATGTACCCTGACCACACCATACCGTCTATAATAAGTACTGTGTTACATATATATGTACCCTGACCACACCATACAGTCTAAAATAAGTACAGTGTTACATATAGATGTACCCTGACCATACCATACGTCTATAATAAGTACAGTGTTACATTTAAGTGAGCCCTGACCACACCATACCGTCTACAATATGTACAGTGTTACGTATAGATGTACCCTGACCACACCATACACCCTCAAATAGGTAAACTATATGTGTACCCTGACCACACCATACACTATAAAATAGGTACTGTGTTACATATATGTGTACCCTGACCACACCATACACTATAACATAGGTACTGTGTTACATATATGTGTACCCTGACAACACCATACACTATAAAATAAGTACTGTGTTACATATATGTGAACCCTGACCACACCATACCGTCTACAATATGTACAGTGTTACGTATAGGTGTACCCTGACCACACCATACACCCTCAAATAGGTTAAATATATATGTACCCTGACCACATCAAACCCTATAAAATAGGTACTGTGTTACATATATGTGTACCCTGACCACACCATACCGTCTACAATAAGCACTGTGTTACATATAGATGTACCCTGACCACACCATACCGTCTACAATAAGTACTGTGTTACATATATGTGAGAACCCTGACCACACCATACACTATAAAATAAGTACTATGTTACATATATGTGTGAACCCTGACCACACCATACCGTCTACAATAAGTACTGTGTTACATAAGTACTGTGTTACATATACGTGTGAACCCTGACGACACCATATCGTTACGTATAGGTGACCCTGACCATACCATACACCCTCAATTAGGTTAAATTTATGTGTACACTGACCACACCATACACTATAAAATAAGTAATGTGTTACATATATGTGTACCCTGACCACACCATACCGTCTACAATAAGTACTGTGTTACATATACGTGTGAACCCTGACGACACCATATCGTCTACAATAGGTACTGTGTTTCATATATGTGTGAACCCTGACCACACCATACCGTCAAAAGTACATGTAGGTACTGTGTTATATATATGTGTACCCTGACCACACCATACACTATAAAATAGGTACTGTGTTACATATATCTGTGAACCCTGACAACACCATATCGTCTACAATAGGTACTGAGTTACATATATGTGTGAACCCTGACCACACCATACCGTATACAATAGGTACTGTGTTACATATAGATGTACCCTGACCACACCATACCGTCTACAATAAGTACTGGGTTACATATACGTGTGAACCCTGACGACACCATATCGTCTACAATAGGTACTGTGTTACATATATGTGTACCCTGACCAAACCATATCGTCTACAATAGGTACTGTGTTACATATAGATGTACCCTTACCACGCCATATCGTCTACAATAGGTACTGTGTTACATCTATGTGTGAACCCTGACCACACCATACCGTCTACAATAGGTACTGTGTTACATATAGATGCATCCTTACTACGCCATACAGTCTAAAATAAATTTAGGTACTGTGTAACATATATAGATGAACCCTTTCCACGCCATATCGTCTACAATAGGTACTCTGTTACATATATGTGTACCCTGACCATACCATACCGTCTACAATATGTACAGTGTTACGTATAGGTGTACCCTGACCATACCTTACACCCTCAATTAGGTTAAATATATGTGTACCCTGACCACACCATACAATATAAATTAGGTACTGTGTTACATATATGTGTACCCTGACCACACCATACACTATAAAATAAGTACTGTGTTACATATATGTGTGAACCCTGACCACACCATACCGTCTACAATATGTAAAGTGTTACGTATAGGTGTATCCTGACGACGCCATACACCCTCAAATAGGTAAAATATATGTGTACCCTGACCACACCGTACACTATAAAATAGGTACTGTGTTATAAATATGTGTACCCTGACCGCACCATACACTATAAAATAAGTACTATGTTACATATATGTGTGAACCCTGACCACACCATACAGTCCAAAATACATGTAGGTACTGTGTTACATATATGTGTGAACACTAACCACACCATACCGTCTAGAAAAGGTACTGTGGTACATATAGATGTATCCTTACCACGCCATACAGTCTAAAATACATGTAGGTACTGTGTTTCATATATGTGTACCCTGACCACACAATACAGTCTAAAATACATGTTGGTACTGTGTTACATATATCTGTGAACCCTGACGACACCATATCGTCTACAATAGATACTGTGTTACATATATATGTGAACCCTGACCACACCATACCGTCTAAAGTACATGTAGGTACTGTGTTATATATATGCGTACCCTGACCACACCATACCGCCTACAATATGTACTGTGTTACATATATGTGTACCCTGACCAAACCATATCGTCTACAATAGGTACTGTGTTACATATATGAGTACTGTTTTACATATATGTGAACACTGACCACACCATACCGTCTCCAATAAGTACTGTGTTACAAATATGTGTACCCTGACCACACCATACACACTCAAATAGGTTAAATATATGTGTACCCTGACCACACCATACAATATAAAATAGGTACTGTGTTACATATATGTGTACCCTGACCACGCCATACCGTCTACAATAGGTAATGTGTTACATATAGATGTACCCTTACCACGACATACCGTCTATAATATGTACAGTGTTACATATAGATGTACCATGACCGAACCATAGTGTTACATATATGTGTACCCTGACCAAACCATATCGTCTACAATAGGTACTGTGTTACATATATGTGTACCCTGACCACACCATACACTATAAAATAAGTACTGTGTTACATATAGATGTACCCTGACCATACCACACCGTCTATACTAAGTGCAGTGTTACATTTAAGTGAGCCCTGACTACACCATACCGTCTACAATATGTACAGTGTTACGTATAGGTATACCCTGACCACACCATACACCCTCAAATAGTTAAAATATATGTGTACCCTGACCACACCATACACTATAAAGTAAGTACTGTGTTACATATATGTGTGAACCCTGACGACACCATATCGTCTACAATAGGAACTGTGTTACATATATGTGTGAACCCTGACCACAACATACCGTCTACAATATGTACAGTGTTACGTATAGGTGTACCCTGACCACACCATACACACTCAAATAGGTAAAATATATGTGTACCCTGCCCACACCATACAGTCTAAAATACACGTAGGTACTGTGTTTCATATATGTGTACCCTGACCACACAATACAGTATAAAATACATGTTGGTACTGTGTTACATATATCCGTGAACCCTGACGACACCATATCGTCTACAATAGATACTGTGTTACATATATATGTGAACCCTGACCACACCATACCGTCTAAAGTACATGTAGGTACTGTGTTATATATATGCGTACCCTGACCACACCATACCGCCTACAATATGTACTGTGTTACATATATGTGTACCCTGACCACACCATACACTATAAAGTAAGTACTGTGTTACATATATGTGTGAACCCTGACCACACCATACAGTCTAAAATACATGTAGGTACTGTGTTTCATATCTGTGTACCCTGACCACACAATACAGTCTAAAATAACACCATACACTATAAAATAAGTACTGTGTTACATATATGTGTGAACCCTGACCACAACATACCGTCTACAATATGTACAGTGTTACGTATAGGTGTACCCTGACCACACCATACACACTCAAATAGGTTAAATATATGTGTACCCTGACCACACCATACAATATAAAATAGGTACTGTGTTACATATATGTGTACCCTGACCACACCATACACTATAAAATAGGTACTGTGTTATAAATATGTGTACCCTGACCACACCATATACTATAAAATAAGTACTGTTTTACATATATGTGAACACTGACCACACCATACCGTCTCCAATAAGTACTGTGTTACATATATGTGTACCCTGACCACACCATACACTATAAAATAGGTACTGCGTTACATATATGTGTACCCTGACCACACCATACAGTCTAAAATACATGTAGGTACTGTGTTACATATATGTGTGAACCCTGACCACACAATACCGTCTACAATAGGTACTGTGTTACATATATGTGTGAACCCTTACCACACCATACAGTCTAAAATACATGTAGGTACTGTGTTACATATATGTGTGAACCCTGACCACACCATACCGTCTACAATAGGTATTGTGTTACATATAGATGTATCCTTACCACGCCATACAGTCTAAAATACATGTAGGTACTGTGTAACATATATGTGTGAACCCTGACCACACCATACCGTCTACAATAGGTACTCTGTTACATATATGTGTACCTTGACCACACCATACAGTCAAAAATACATGTAGGTACTGTGTTACATATATGTGTGAACCCTGACCACACCATACAGTCTAAAATACATGTAGGTACTCTGTTATATATATGTGTGTACCCTGACCACACCATGTCGTCTACAATAAGCACTGTGTTACATATATGTGTACCTTGACCAAACCATATCGTCTACAATAGGTACTGTGTTATATATAGATGTACCCATACCACGCCATACCGTCTACAATAGGTACTGTCTTACATATATGTGTA